AAGATATGATGTAGGGTGAAATGACAGTAGTTTTTTGGACCACGAAATGGTAGATAAAAGACTATTAGGTAGACCTGAGGATGTACATGTTTATAGAGGGGCCACAGATATATCAAATCACTTTTTAGTTGTAGCTACAGTGAGAGTAGAAGGTAGATGGGATACAAGGAGAATGGAAACAGCAAGTAAGAGAGAAGTGAGGATTTATAAACTAGAGGAGGAGGCAGTTAGGGTGAGATGTAAACAACTGTTGGAGGACAGATGGACTAATGAGAGTATAGACAATGGGGTAGAAGATGTATGGGGTAAGTCTAAGAATATTGTGTTAGGGTGTTCAGCAGAAGTTTGTGGTTATAGGAAAGTGGGCGCGGGAGGGAAGAAGAGCGATTGGTGGAATGATGTATAGATAGTAGTAAGAGAGAAAAAGTTAGCATATGAGAGGTTTTTACAAAGAAGTGATGCAAGGAGGGAGGAGTATATGGAGAGAAAAAGAGTGGTTAAGAGAGTGGTGAAGCAATGTAAAAAGAGAGCAAATGAGAGGGTGGGTGAGGTGTTATCAACAAATTTTGTTGAAAATAAGACAGAGTTTTGGAGTGAGATTAACAAGTTAAGGAAGCCTAGAGAACAAATGGATTTGTCAGTTAAAAAGAGGAGAGGAGAGTTATTAAATGGAGAGTTAGAGGTATTCGGAAGATGGAGGGAATATTTTGAGGAATTGTTAAATGTTGATGAAGATAGGGAAGCTGTGATATCATGTATAGGGCAAGGAGGAATAACATCTTATAGGAGTGAGGAAGAACCAGTTGTGAGTGTGGGGGAAGTGTGTTGGGCAGTGAGTAGAATGAAAGGGGGTAAAGCAGCTGGGATTGATTGGATAAAGACAGAAATGTTAAAGGCAGGTGGGATACAGTTTTGTAGTGGTTAGTGTTTTTATTTAATAAATGTATGGAAGAGGTATCTATGGATTGGCAGAGAGCATGCATAGTTCCTTTGTGTAAAGGCAAAGGGGACAAAAGAGAGTGTAAAAATTATAGGGGAATAAGTCTGTTGAGTATACCTGGTAAAGTGTATGGAAGAGTTATTATTGAAAGAATTAAGAGTAAGATGGAGAGCAGGATAGCTGATGAACAAGGAGGCTTTAGGAAAGGTAGGGGGGTGTGTAGACCAAGTGTTGGCAGTGAAACATATAGGTGAACAGTATTTAGATAAGGGTAAAGAGGTATTTGTGGCACTTATGGATTTGGAAAAGGTATATGATAGGGTGGATATAGGGGCAATGTGGCAGATGTTGCAGATGTATGGAATAGGAGGTAGGTTATTGAAAGCGGTGAAAAGTTTTTACAAGGATAGTGAGGCTCAGGCTAGAGCATGTAGGTGAGAGGGAGATTATTTCCCAGTAAATTCAGGCCTTAGACAGGAATTTGTGATGTCACCATGGTGGTTCAATATATTTATAGATGGAGTTATAAGAGAAGTGAATGCTCAGGTATTGGCAAGAAGTGTGGGGTTAAAAGATAAAGAATCTAACAAAGTGGGAGTTGTCACAGTTGCTCTTTGCTGATGACACTGTGCTTTTGGGGGATTCAGAAGAGAAGTTGCAGAGGTTGGTTGATGAGTTTGGTAGGGTTTGTAAAAGAAGGAAATAAAAAGTGAATATAAGAAAGAGTAAGGTGATGAGGATAACAAAAAAATTAGGTAATGGAAGATTGGATATCAGATTGGTAGGAGAGAGTATGGAGGAGGTGAATGTGTTCAAATATTTGGGAGTGGATGTGTCAGCAGATGGGTCTGTGAAGGACGAGGTGAATCATAGAATTAATGAGGGGAAAAAGATGAGTGGTGCACTCAGGAGTCTGTGGAGACAAAGAACTTTATCCATGAAGGCAAAGAGGGGACAGTATGAGAGTACGGTGGACCCTCGCCTAACGCTATTAATCCATTCCTGAGAGCTCAACGTTAGGTGAAATTATTGTTAGGTGAATTAATTTTCCCCATAAGAAATAATGGAAATCAAATTAATCCGTTCCTGACACCCCAAAGTATGAACAAAAAAAAATTGTTACCACATGAAATATTAATTTTAATACACACAAACTGAAGAAGACATGCACAGTTACATGACACTTACCTTTGTTGAAGATCTGGTGATGATTGATGGGATGGGAGGAGGGGAGAGTGTTGATGGTGTTAGTGTTTTGAAGGGGAATCCCCTTCCATTAGGACTTGAGGTGGCAAGTCCTTTTCAGGGGTTACTTCCCTTCTTCTTTTAATGCCACTAGGACCAGTTTGAGAGTTACTGGACCTCTGTCGCACAACATATCTGTCCATAGAGGCCTGTACCTCCCGTTCCTTTATAACATTCCTAAAGTGTTTCACAACATTGTCAGTGTAATAGTCACCAGCACGGCTTGCAATAGCTGTGTGAGGGTGATTTTCATCAAAAAAGGTTTGCACTTTAAGCCACATTGCACACATTTCCTTAATCTTTGAAGTAGGCAACTTCTTCAATTTCTCTATCCCCTCCTCCGAAGCAGTTTCCTCAGGTGTGGCCTCTTGCTGTTGAAGATGATCTAGCAGCTCATCAGTGGTTAGTTCTTCATTGTCCTCCTCTTCCAACTCTTCCACATCCTCCCCACTAACCTCCCACCCCAAGGACTTCCCCAATGCCACAGTGGATTCCTCAACTGGCATAGGATTTCCAGGGTTAGCCTCAAACCCTTCAAAATCCCTTTTGTCTGCACATTCTGGCCACAGTTTCTTCCAAGCAGAGTTCAAGGTCCTCTTAGTCACTTCCTCCCAAGCCTTACCTATAATGTTTACACAATTAAGGATGCTAAAGTGATCTCTCTAAAACTCTCTTAGAGTCAATTGAGTTTCTGAGGTCACTACAAAGCACCTTTCAAACAGAGCTTTTGTGTACAGTTTCTTGAAGTTGGAAATGACCTGCTGGTCCGTGGGCTGCAGGAGAGGAGTGGTATTAGGAGGCAAAAACTTGACCTTAATGAAGCTCATTTCCGCAGAAAGTCGCTCTGCCACGTCTGAAGGATGACCAGGGGCATTGTCTAATACCAGGAGGCACTTAAGGTTTAATTTCTTTTCAATTAGGTAATTATTCACAGTGGGGGCAAATGCATGGTGTAACCAGTCATAGAAAAAGTCCCTAGTGACCCATGCCTTACTGTTTGCCCTCCACAGCACACACAAATTAGCCTTGAGGACATTGTTTTTCCTGAACACTCTGGGAGTTTCAGAGTGATACACCAATAAAGGCTTTACTTTGCAATCACCACTAGCATTGGCACTCATCAACAGAGTAAGCCTGTCTTTCATAGGCTTATGTCCTGGGAGTGCCTTTTCCTCCTGAGTAATGTAGGTCCTGCTTGGCATTTTCTTCCAAAACAGGCCTGTTTTGTCACAATTAAACATTTGTTCAGGTTTCAATCCTTCACTGTCTGTGTACTCCTTGAATTCCTGCACATATTTTTCAGCCGCTTTGTGGTCTGAACTGGCAGCCTCACCATGTCTTATCACACTGTGTATGCCACTACAATTCTTAAATCTCTCAAACCAACTTTTGCTTGCCTTAAATTCACTCACATCATCACTAGTTGCAGGCATTTTTCTAATTAAATCGTCATGCAACTTCCTAGCCTTTTCACATATGATCGCTTGAGAGATGCTATCTCCTGCTATCTGTTTTTCGTTTATCCACACCAATAAGAGTCTCTCAACATCTTCTATCACTTGCGATCTCTGTTTTGAAAACAAAGTTGCACCTTTGGCAAGAACAGCTTCCTTGATTGCCGTTTTCTTGGCCACAATAGTAGCGATGGTTGATTGGGGTTTTGTGTACAACCTGGCCAGCTTGGAGACATGCACTCCACTTTCATACTTAGCAATGATCTCTTTCTTCATATCCATAGTAATTCTCACTCTTTTTGCTGTAGGGTTGGCACTAGAAGCTTTCTTGGGGCCCATGGTGACTTATTTTGCAGGTGCAATCACTAAAAAGGCTGTGATAATATGAAATGTTCCGATTGTATGCTTGGAAGCGACCGCGGTGGCTGGCTTGTAAACACTGGCACCCACGGAACAAGTAAGGCGGGCTCAGGCCGCACGTGGACGCGTCTCGAACGAATCGTGTTGAACGAGTTTTTTAGCACTAGCCGAGGCAAAATTTTTACGTTAAAATGTATCGCTAGGCGGATTTAACGTTATGCGATGTGTTCGATAGGCGAGGGTCCACTGTATAGTTATACAGTGTATAACTATACTGTGTATGGGTGTGAGGCATGGGTTGTGAATGCTGCAACAAGGAGAAGGCTGGAAGCAGTGGAGATGTCATGTCAAAGGGCAATGTGTGGTATGAATATAATGCAGAGAATCTGTAGTTTGGAGACCAGGAGGGGATGTGGGATTACCAAAACTATTATCCAGAGGGTTGAGGAGGGGTTATTGAGATGGTTTGGAGATGTAGAGAGGATGAGATCAAATACAATGACTTCAAAAGTGTATAAATCTGTAGTGGAAGTAAGGCAAGGTAGGGGTCAGCCTAGGAAAAGTTGGAGGAAGGGTGTAAAGGAAGTTTTGTGTGTGAGGGGCTTGAACTTCCAGCAAGCATGCATGAGCATGTTAGATAGGAATGAATGGAGACAAATGGTTTTTAATACTTGACGTGCTGTTGGAATGTAAGCAAGGTAACATTTATGAAGGGATTCAGGGAAACCGGCAGGCCGGACTTGATACCTGGAGATGGGAAGTACAGTGCCTGGACTCTGAAGGATGGGTGTTAATGTTGCAGTTTTATAACTGTAGTGTAAGTATGCCTCTGGCAAGACAGTGATGGAGTGAGTAATGATGAAAGTTTTTCTTTTTCAGGCCACCCTGCCTTGGTGGGGAATGGTCGATGTGTTAATAAAAAAAAATATCAAAATTCGTTCTTAGGATTTTTACCCCCTCAGCTTGTAGTATTATTTCTAAAATGGATTTTTTTTTTCCAGATTGAACACCAAGGAAAGTATGAGGCTCTAGTGGAAGAAATAATATATTATAACATCAGTTCTTCAATATTTGACATTGTGGTAAGTAGCTCTACTGGTTGAATTTACTTGTTACGTGGATTGGTGCACAGTGTTGCTAACTGTAGTGTCAGATGTACATGGTGTTGCAAACTGTAGCATCAGAAGTGCACAGTGTTGTTAACTGTAGTGTGAGAGTTATGGTGTTGCTAACTGTAGTGTCAGAGGTACACAATGTTACTAACTGTAGTTTCAGAGGTACACAATGTTGCTAACTGTAGTTTCAGAGGTACACAATGTTGCTAACTGTAGTGTCAGAGGTACACGGTGTTGCTAACTGTAGTGTCAGAGGTGCACAGTGTTGTGAACTGTATTGCCATAGGTTCTCAAATGTATAGCTAAACGCTATACATTTGAGAACTTACAATTGGGGCTCTGTGAAATCACAGAAGTGACAATATGTGAACTATAGTAAAAACTTAACGTGTATTCTTTCCTTGTGTAGTAGATGTATTCCATTCTGATAGCATTACTGAGCTGTACTAAGCTCAGTTATGCTCTCAGAACATAATTCCATCTGAACTGTGATGTCAGCATGCTTCTGGCAAGACAGCAATTGAGTGAATGATAGTGAATGTGCTTTCTCTTTCATGGGCTACCCTATCTCAGGTAGAAAAAGCTGGTGTGTTAAAAAATAAGAATATTCAGTATGCTTTGTTACCTGTGATGATTACATATAGCGAATGTTTATTGTACCTACAATTTTACCAATAGAAATGTGTCATTACATAATAGTGAATTTACACAAAGCGAGTGCACATAAAATGAAGAAAGCTGTTTGTATATGAAAACTAAATACAGTGGAACCTTGGTTTTCACGATTAATCCGTTCGAAAAAATCTGATGATAAACCGAATCGCACGAAAACTGAAACAATATTTCCTATGAGAAATAATGTAAATCCAATTAATCTGTTCCAAACACCCAAAAATATTAAGAAAAAATATATTTTATGGAGAATATAGTTTTACATACAAACTAGGGCATACGAAAACTGAAGTTCCACTATATTTGTTCTACATTTGCATTAAATGTATTAATAATGTGAGTAAGGTAACATTTACGAAGGCTTTTAAGCATTTTTTTTTCTTTAAAGTTTAGATGTCACCATTGCCTGTTCTGTTTACAGTCTTAACCCCTTGACTGTCGCAACCCTAAATCCTGAGGTGTCCCCTGGTGTCGCAAAATTTCCGGGAAAAAAAAAAAAATTCGTATGAAATGATAGAGAATCTTTTCCCAATTGTAATGACACCAAAAGAACAAAATTTGATGGAAAACTGACGGAATTACGCTCTCACGAAGTTGGCGACCTCGGCGATATTTACGAATCGGTGATATCACCCATTTTGAGCCCTATTTTTGGCTAATTCCATTGTTCCAGTCGACCAAATTCATAGCTATTTCTTTAGAACTCTATTTTTTCTATCGATTGAGTACAAGAAACTGCCCATTTACCAATTTCAACTACCCAATAATGTGGTCAGAAATTTGCAATTTGGCCAATTTCATGAAAATTAAAAAATATGACAATTTCAAAATAGGGTCCAGAATGAACAATGCAGACAATCTTGGCTCTAAAATAACATTTTCTTTGTTCATCAATCATGTCTCCAGGCCACTCTGACATTACTCTTGCTTTCTATTTTTAATTTTTATTCAAACAAAAATAGAAGATTTACTGTTATGCAAACTACTGCAATAATGTAATAATTGTATAAATAATGTCAACCCATTCATAACTGCATATTAGAATGGTTACTTGGACATTTATTGGAAAATGACATTTGTTTACTTTTGAACATCAGCAAAAATCAAACATTTCCCCTACTTTGAGCTCCATTTCAAGGTTCTTTTCATAGTAAAACCAGTCAAAATCATGTTTTCCATTCTATCAAATGAGACCAAGAAAATGAAATACAACCATACATACTATATGAAAATAGATAAAAAATTCAGCATTTTAATTAAAAAAACCGTCGGAGTTTTTTTTTTCTCATTATGCACTGCGTGCTGCAGGATTTTTTTATATGGTGCACACTGACCACACAGACCCATTCTCTCACATGTGGGCCTACCAGCTTTCTCCTGCTTGATTTGAAACCGCTAGAATTTGAGTATATATACGTCAAACACGGTGGCTCGTAAGACGTTTTATACGACCAAAACAGTCAAAGAGTTAAGTAATATGTATTTTTTTTATAATATTACTAAGTAATCACATGCAATAATAACAATAATAATAATAATAATAATAATAATAATAATAATAATAATAATAATAATAATAATAATAATAATAATCCCCTTCTCCTGTATATATTACTAAATTTAAAAGGAGTAACGTTTGTTTTTCCTTTTGGGCCACCCCACCTCATTGGGATATGGCTGGTACGTTGAAAGAAAAGAATAATGAAAATAATAATAATAATAATAATAATAAATATATAATAATAATAATAATAATAATAATAAATAATACGGTAAAACCCTCTAATTAGCAGGCCTTCATTTAACATTTTTTGGCAATTACAGACAAAAAAATTGGCTGGGCAAAAGTTAGATTCATTGGACAAAGTGGAAAAGTACATAATATTTGATTTTGTCTATAGTGATAGTGTCTGTTTTCTCCTGAATCATCAGATCAAGTCTGTTGTCTCCCATGGCCTGGTGGCAAAAAGCTTTTGCTTCACACGCTGAGTGTCTGGGTTTGATTCCTGGCAAAGGGTACCTGGGTGTTAGTTGAGTGGTGTGGGTCACATCCTGGGACAAAACTGGCCTAATTTGCTTGAAATGCTCACATAACAAGCAGCTTTCTATAAAGTAGTAGTATATCATTGATGTCAGCTAGGCCTGTATACATTGTACATGTACTTGTTGAAATAAAGATATTACAGTGGGCCCTCAGTTATTGGCCATTCCTTCTTCTTATGACCAGAGCTTTGGTAAGATGGGTAAAGAAGAAGGATGGGTAAGGATAGAAATATTGGAAAAGGGTGGGAGGGGGGAGAGAGGTAGGATATAAAAGGTAAGGGGCCCAACCACTTTGGTGTAATTTAAAAGGTGTATGTGAAATAATAAGATATTCTTGAAGGGGTATAATACTAACCCATCAGAGTCACATAGATATAACAGATATATAAGTACATGACTCTGAATTGATAGTAAATATACAAGTTGCAATTGCCTTTTTTTTTTTTTTTTTTTTTTTTTTTTTTTTTTTTTTTTTTTTTTTGCGGTTGGACAACGGACAATGAAGGCAATAATTTCCTGGCCAGTTGATAAAGAATTACTCGACAATGGCTTCTTACAGGTGGTGTCCCGCCATAATAAATTTAGCATAATTTTTACAGTAGAATGTTATATAAGATGTCTCCCTAATTGGGGGCGATGATTTTCTCAGTAAACATAGAAGGGTTCTGGTGTTACCCAATCATCTTCATCAGGGAGGTTGCTCAATATCATTGGTCGATGGTAATCATCTTTATGGATAAAACGACAGACCCTCTGTGGGAGAGTCATTCTTTGAGTCCTGTGAGGAGTATTGATGATATAATCCATGCTAATTTCAACTTGTAGAGGATGTTCTCTATCTGGCATGTAGAGTTCTTGCATTGCATAGAGTTGTTTCTTTTTCAGGGTGTCAAGGCGTACATTTAAGGCAGTAATATCTTGTTGTACGTGTAAATCTCTCCTCCTGGTACCCGTAATGAAGCAGAGAACTCTATTCTGTACCCGTTGTAACCATAGCATGTTGGTCTTTGTTGTTAATGACATTGGGACACATGGGTATTCGAGTATAGGTCTTATTATCATTTTATACAGATGTCTTTTGACATGTGGATGGGCTTGATTGAATCGAAAGAGACTGCTAAGACCGGCTTTGGCTATGTTGATCTTTTTAGTTACATGAGATGTTGAGTGGAGCAGCCTGTCTATTTCATATCCCAAGATCTTGTTAGGGTTTCTAATGGCTACAGGTGTACCTCTGATGGAGATACCCCCTTTATCTTCGATGGTTGATGCAAAACATCCTATCGTGCTAACAAGGACTTTGTCAGGATTAGTCGTAATTCTCCATTTCTTTTCCCAATTAGATGTTCGACGAAGTTCAATGTTCATTTTTTCTATGACTCTCTCATACTTGTATTTTCCTGTTACCGGAGTTGATGAGACGACATGGATAACATCATCTGCAAACTGCGTTATAATTGTATCATTAAACTCTGGTTGAGGAAGGTCATTCACATAAATGTTGAAGAGAATTGGACTAAGACAAGAACCTTGTGGGACACCAGCTGTTGGTATAAAAGGCTCTGTCGACCTGCCATGAAAGGTGGGAATGATTTTTCTTTGAGTTAAGAAATTATATATTAATCTGAGAAAAGTCCAGTTATGGTCTGGTAGGTCAATGAGTTTGTATATAAGACCATCATGCCATAAGCTATCAAAAGCTTTATGAACATCTCTGGTGGCAATTAGGGCAAGATTACCCTGATGTTTTAGACTTGCTACAGTATCGAAAATAATATTTATTGCATGACGGGTACCTCTATGTGTTCTAAAGCCAAATTGTTTTTCAGTAAAAAGGTGATTAAACTCCATATAGTAGTTCAGTCTCTTGGAAATGATCTTCTCAAGAACTTTTCCAGTGACTTCAAGTAAAGATACAGTGGGCCCTCGCATACCGTTGGCATCACATAACGTTAAATCCGCATACCGATACATTTTATCACTAAAATTTTGCCTCGCATACCGCTAAAAAACTCGCTCAACGCTATTCGTCCGAGACGCTTCTAATGTGCGGCCTGAGCCAGCTTCACATGTTCCGCCGGTGGCATTGTTTACAAGCCAGCCTCCGCGGTAACATCCAAGCATACAATCGGAACATTTCGTATTATTACAGCGTTTTGGGTGATTTCATCTGCAAAATAAGTGACCGTGGGCCCCAAGAAAGCCTCTAGTGCTAACCCAGTGGTAAAAAGGGTGAGAAATACTATCATATC